GCCCCCGGCTCCGCTGAGCTCCCCTCGCTAGCGTGGCCCGGGCCACCTCCTGACCGCCAGCCCGAGCCCACCTCGCTCACGGGCCACCTCGACAGGTGCCGGAGCAGTTGCTGTTTAGCTGCCATAAGGTCCCAGCTCGCTACAGCAAAGGGTGCTCGGCAGTGACAAGTGGGCAGCTGCACCCACAAGTGCCCTGACCGTTCTTTCATTCCCGCTGAAGACGTTTCTCGCTTCCGAGCAGCCAGCCCGTGATGCGCCAGGAGCAGGGGCACCAGTCTTCTGCTTCTCCACAGAGATGCCCTGCGCTGCTCAGCAGGTCCAGTCTGTCGGCGGGTGGTCTCAGAGAGAACCAGGGCACCGCAGAGGGAAGGAACGGACATGGATCCCCCTGCTCTGGTAGTCACTGTTCCTGCTGGCCACCTTCAGCTCTTCACTGCTCACCGGGGAGGACGGAGCAAACCTGGGGCAATCCTGGATGGCTGTTAATTGACCCTGGCAATGCCCGTGAATTCCTACTTGCAGTGATAGAAAGAGAAGGCTGGTGTAGGGTTACTCACCACCAGCCTCTGAAGCCTGGGCTGCTGCCTTACCAAAACGCACTCTCCCTTTCTTCATCAGTTTTTCCTGAACAAGCATTAATTAATGCAGCAATTACACCCTTTTGTTCCCCAAAGCTCAGCAGCAGGGGCACAAAACGGCTGCAAGTGGTTTCAGTATTGATAAGTCTGATCTCCTGGGCCCACACCGGTCAGAGCAGGCGACGCAACGGCATTCCAGCCTCACAAAACGAAGGGCACTGTAAGAGTCCTCTGCGTTAGTGATATGACAAGGATGTCCACATGCTGACAGCAAACGCTGCTCCACATGGGAACGTGAGATGAAATGAAGAAGGGAAGGAATGTACAGTCCAGGGAGAGATGGAAAAGGTTTCAGAGAAACAGGCTGCTCCCTGCCAAGCAGGCTGAGAAGTGCTGCCATTGATGAGTCTCCTCCTGTGACACGAGCAGGTGAAGCCTTTCAGAGCCTGTTGTGACTGTGACCTGGGCAGGATGGGATTAACAGTGTAATGCAACCTCTCTAGGTTGGCAGAAAGGACAAGATCGATATAGCCAGCGGATTAGGCTGGGAATAGAAGGGCATGTAGCCCACAGCCTGTTCGGCTTGGATTTCTACTTCCAAATCACTTATGCAGCGAGGATGCCTAGAACGAGAAGATTATTAGCAAATGTGTGTGTCAGGGCTTGCACTGCTCCTGACAGATGCTAGCACACCAGTTCTTTTAGAAGAGCACTGGTCAGATCCGATGGGGCCAGCAGAGGGGTGGATGCATTATCCAGCCACTGTCTTGCTTCTTGAAACAAGCCTATGGGCTTGTGCCCAGGCTGGAGAACTTGATTACACACTATAAAAAGCCTGTTGTGTTTACACTGCCTAAGGTCATTAGAAAGCAAAGCAGGATATTTAGGGTCCTCATTTGCATATCACTGAGGCAATGCACGGCTTAGGTGGCTTTTGCATTTGCAGAGAGATTTTCTGTGGATTCCCTGATCACATGAGCTTACACAGGTTCACCCACAAATAGTCCCGTCTTACCAACAGGAGAGCAGCACATTTCCATGGCCTGAACATGCTTTCAGCTCTATCCAGACAGCCTCAATTCCAGCATCACTCTTCTTTCATTAAGCCCCTCTGATGCACAGCCCTGCACGCCTGCCAGATCGAATTATAAATACTGGGAATTTCAATGAGACTGGAACTATATTTGGAAAGGCTTAGCGTAAGCAGCAGCATGGGAGCTCCCCGTTCCTTTGGTGTTTGTAGGTCATGTCAGATGTGATGTAATCAGAGCAGCAAGGCTTTCATATAGCTTCAGGAGTCTTGATGCTGCTAGAGAAATGGAAACGTTGTCTGTACGTGGGTCTGTTTCAAACCTGAACCACTCTGAGGCAGAGCCCACACTCAGGACCACACTGCATCTGACAAACCTGCACGAACAGCACATGAAGGTGGTTCAGTCTCGATAAGGCCTGACATCCAGCAATGACATCTATCACTGCCGGTCCTTGTTTTCTCTCTGTGCTGCACACAGCACCCACAGAGTTCTCTGCTACATCCCAAAGCTGAACAAAGAAAAGGTCTCAGGAAAGACGTTGGTATTAATACTCTTCTCTCACAGTTGGGGGAACTGAAGAGACTAGAGTCAGGACTCAACTAAAGGGCATTCTGCCATCTTGGCTCATGCTCTCTTCATCAGCAGACAGCTTTGTGCCTAAACTAGTTCCACGGATTTGTCCCTGAGTCAGGCACTGTTTCCCAGAGCTAAGGGCTGCAGATCTGCTCCAAAAAGGGTCAAGAGCAACCTGCTTCTGTACTTTACTTAATTGTTTTCCCTGCTTTCTCAGAGATACTTGCTCAGTTACATGTAAAAGAAGCCACTCCAACAATTTGTTGTGTCTCTGCAGATTTCAGATACCTTTCCTATACACACCAGATTTTGGTGGAAGCTTAGCTTGATATATGCAACTATTTTTGGCTAAGCTGGTAAAGGTTTCTGAGGACCCTGTCACAAAAAAAAAAATAATTAAAGAAGCTTATAAATAAGATGTGACCAAAAACTTTGAGACTGAGCTGTGAGACCTGGCAATAGCACTCATATTCATGCAAGACAGCAAGAGGCACAGGCCAGATGCTGAATCACACCACTGAGGCAGAACAACCTCAAAAGACAGCAAAGCGACTGCAGAGAAGCATGAGATGGTAAAAAATTGCAGGGAGATAAAAGGGCAAGGAAGAGTTCAGCTTTGGGTTTCATCTGCATTGCAAATACAGGTGAGCTGGGCAGATGAAACCCTGGACAGAACATTCATGTAACGGCTGCCCAGTGCCTGCAGGGTCATGGATGTGTGATGTGACGTACCGTCAGGTAACTTCTGCTCCGAAAGCAGGTACCTGTGAATGAAAAGAGAGACGGGGGTAAACACTCAGTGAAGTTATTCAAATCCTGATTTTACAGCTATAAACTCTGAACCACAAATTAACCCTTTTAATACACACAGGCACACATTTACGATAGCTCATCATATAAGAAAGATCAGGAGCCGACACCGCACGTGTCAGGCCGTGGTAAGCCTCATTCTCCACACAATTCTGCCATTGCCTTCCTCATCCTAGCTGCTGGGACACAGCACAAACAAGCTCCATAAATCCAACTCGCCCTCGAACTTCTCATGTTGCACTAAGGGAAGCTGCAAGAGGCTACCAAAGGTTATTCACCTCTGGGAGCGCTGGCTCTTGAAAGCCTTGTGCCTGCTGACCAGGGACGTTGCCTCAGCAGCAGCTCCTGTTTGGGGACCAGCTTCTTTCTTTCTAACCCACACTGGCACTGGGACTTCTGTGAAGCTGCTCTGACTTTTTGCTCAGTAAGACTTTGATCCCTTCACGATTTTGTCCTAAGATGTCTCTGTCACAAAAATGCGTCCCTTGGAAACAGAAAGAGGGGACCGGAGTAGGAGATGTGAACACATATGGTGCTTCCATCAAGAAGCGGAAGCAGACAATCCTGATATGGTGAAGGCCTAAGAGGAAATTAACTTCAATTCCTTTTTAATTCTCTTGCTTCTCCTGCTCTAGCCTGTGGTTCATGGCTTCAGGGCACTTATGCTCACATCGGCCTCCAGATTTGGCCCAACACAGGGATGGGAGGAAGCAGGTCTCCAGCAGATGGCACTCAGAGATGTCCCACCCCCAGGCTGCTCCTCCGTAAGAAAAAAAAAAACAACACAAAAACAGTGGAACATTTGCCAAAAGGAGAAAGGAAATAAAAAAAGTTATTTAACCCTGTGTAATATTTAAAGAGATTGTTATCATCTTATAGTGGTGTATTTGACGAAGGACAATGTGACAATTCATGTGTAAACAACTAGGATAAAACATACTTTATATGTAAACATTTATATGTTTCTCCAGTCACTTTCAAACTAGGATTATCTCTGGCTATTGGTTAAGTTCAAGGAAAAGGATTAGCTATACAGGCATAGACAAAATAGGAAGCACGGCGTAATGAATACCCAAAGCAATTCAAAGCAAAAGTCAAGCCAGAAATGCAGGTCATGGCAGAACTCAAACAGCAATCAGAAGATATATGCCTGAAATAGATTCTCCTGCCAATGATCTCCTCTTCTCCAGAGCCAAAGATCTGCAAGCAATACCATGTTCTGCTAAACAATGGCCTTGTCATACTGACTTGGCCACCTTCTACTCCACTTCTTAAGTCCTACTGTTCTCCCAAAGACTGTTCGATGTTCCCTTGTAAACCTTAGCAGCAATTCTGGGGGCAAGGGCGAGAAGGAACATTTAAGTATCTCCATTCATGTCTGCTTTGCTCTTTTGCCAGAGGTTTCTTCACCCACAGCTAGAACCTGGCCACCCAAAGAAGTGATTCAGTATTTGGTAAAGCTTGCAGGGTGGGAACTTTTTAAAATAAGCTTGGGGAGATAAAGCAGTAACTGGTTGTGAAATCGGGCTTACTATCCAAAGCCCTAATGTCTGTTCTGGGTGTGCTGCTCTGCCATGGAGGGGCCTTCAAAGCACCAACTGACAGCAAAGGAAAGGATGTAAGAACTGCTCCAGGAGTGAACTAATAACCACCCTTCCTGGCCACTAGAAACAGAAGCAAGGAGAGATCCAGTTCACATGGAATCAAAAAAAAGAGCACCTTCAGCAGGGAAGGCAAGCTTGATTCAGCCCCAAGTTAAGGAGTTTGTGCGCGTATAAAGGTTCAGGGAGACACAAAGTGTGTTTTGGTTACTGGAAGGTCCTCAAGGCTGCTGCCAGGCAGACCTGACACTGATCTGGAAGAATAGGCATGAAGAAACTGATTCTCTCCTCATTCTCTTTGTCCTGAGCCAATTGCTTTGGCAAGGCTCTGTGGGAATGGGCTCCACCCAGCCGTAACGCTGCAGAGGAATCGCAGCCTCGCTCATTTGTGTTTCTCAGGCAAGAGATGGCAATGCACTCCAGAGAGAGAGAGAACTCTACCTCCTGCACACTTTCATAAAACCAGCCAATCATCTCCCCAAATCAATCTTCTCGCTCCCATCTCCACCCTGCTGGAGCTGTCTCCCTGGGATGCTTCCAAGTAGGGGAGAGGTTGCAGCTCTCTGTTGTTGCCATTTTGGGAATGTTGTTTTATAGATCAGACTTGCTGTGGTTTGGGTGAAAAGCAGGAGTTTGGCATAAAATCTCAAAAAGTCAAACACAAAGAGGCTCTTTTTCAGGAGCTTTTTCCATGTGTTTTTTTCCAGAGAGGCTTTTTATAAATTCTTTTTAAACATAAAGTGACCTAAGGTGGCTCGTTCTCATCCACCCACCAAGTGTGAGAGGCCAGTTGATTACAGGACACCTCTCACTGCACCCTCTTTATTATGCCTGTGGTAGGTTCAGATCCATATTTGAAGGAACTGCAACGAAGAACTTCAAAAAGGCCAGGAGATATTTGAAGGTACCCACCACTTCTGCCCTGTAAGGACTCAGCACCGACTCCTCCCTCAAGGACCAGCTGCTGTCTGTAGCTATCAGCTACATCTGCTCAGCAGAAAAAAATGAAATAGTCCAACAACCCTCATCCTGTAAACTGAAGGACTGAGCTAGCTCCCAAATCCCCTGTCTTTATTCCCTCATCCTCAAGGACAGACAGCAGCAAAGTGAGTGGGTAGCTCCTAAGAGGCACTGACCCTCGATACCCCCCCATAATGGCAAGAAGGAACAAGGCAAGATGGAGCTGAAACCTCAGTCTTGGGGAGCGCAGAACTCCTCTGGGGTGGTAGGACTGACGCCCTGATGGGTGGATTACAGTTTTGGTGATGTTGTGTTTGATGAGAAATTCTTCAATGAAATCTGTGACTTCACTCTCCAAAGCATCTCCCGTGCCAAAGGCAACGCTCTGCACTGAAGTGACTGCCCTGGCTGCTGTAGAGCGCTGGTAGTACAATTTTGAAGAGCATGGCAAAGAATGGATGTCTCAAAGATGCATTGTGGCTCCATTTAGGATCTTAACCTCTAATCTGCCCAATTAATCTGACAAAACAGATGTGAAGGAGGAAGAACAGCCAGTCTCTTAGGAATCCCAGAGACATTAGAAGGATATACTTGCCAGATGTTGAATGTTTGCTATCTGGAACGCCTCCTCCCTCCCTAACCGGACTTTCTGGCTCCATTTCCATGCACCCTGAGCTACACCATGTAGCAACATGCAGTCTTTAAAACAATATTCAGGCACTCTGTACTCGTGTGTATTGCAGCGGCAAAAAAAGGTTCTGCCAGTCAGGAAGAAAAGATGTCGATTCAGAGATCTTCCAGTTGACAGAGCTGCTCTGCGACTCTGTGCTTTGGTCGCTCCACTGTCTGGGGGAAGAATGTGCAGTGTCACGGCCCCACTCACGAGGCTAACAGTTTAGGGACGCTGCGAAGGGCATTCCTTGAGGTGGTTTCTTTGGAATAAAAGCTTCTTTGTGGGGGAATCCGCGCAATGCTGGTGCCCTGTGCTCAACTTTATCCTAACAGCTCTCAACGGTATCGTGGAAGGGCACTGGGATGAATGAACTTGGTTAATTTAAGGAAGGAGGGAGCAGGGTTGAAGGATGAGATAAAATCCAGGACAACATACCCAGCGAGGGCATTTATGCCAGGCATGGTGGTGGCTTTTGAGAACTGTACGCACTGAGTCTGTGGGATTTGGCCATACACACCTTTGATATCCTTATTTGAAGCTGGAGTTTAATCAATCCTCCTCTTTCAGGAAGCCTCAGTGCAACCCTTCTGCACAATGCTACATCCTCCCAGAGGGGGTGCTCAGGCACTGGGATGCACTGCCCAGGGAAGGGGGAGTCACCGTCCCTGGAGGTGTTTAAGGAAAGGCTGGATGTGACACTGGGTGCCATGCTCTGCCCGATGTCGGGGTGTTGGGTCATAGGCTGGACTTGATGATCTCAGATGTCTTTTCCAGCCTCAGTAATTCTGTGATTCTGACTCACAGCAGTCATAAATGGGGCATTCAATGCCCAGGCTGTGACAACAGGGCAACAAGGCAGCGGTGGCACTCCAGCTGCATCATGATCAACTCAAGAGCGATAAAGCACTAAGCTCCCAAATGTTAACTTCTGCACAGACTCGTTTACAACCTACCACTGAGCTGGCAAATGTTAAGAACCATCCTCCGAGACTGAGAGGTGTTTTTCCAAATGGAATTGATGAGAATAGGCTCAGCTAGTGATTCTTTGATGTAGTTTTTTTATATGGCATCATTGACATAAGTTTTATGGATGCGGTTGCTATAACAACATAATGCACAGTGGATAAATATAGCAGCTCCTATTTTCCACTCAGTTTGCTCTGCTTTAAGCAGACAAGGACCATTCTTTCCTGTTCTAGATGGATTTGATAGCTCACCAAAGAAAAGAAGTGGTACAGTTCTTCTTCCTCACAAAGACCGCTCCTCTCCATCCTAAGAAAGCGAGTGAACAACAAAACCAACAGCCCCCCCTGGCTAGGCTACTGGGCAAGAGGGCTTGCTGAAAATCAAAATGCACAATGACTCACACAAAACTAAACCACCTCGATATTACACGTGAGCTCAGTGCAAACATTGTCATTTCAAAGTGCAGGAAAAAGAGGTTTTCAAATATTCCTGTCACGTAGTAGCTCCTGTGCTTATTACCATAGTGCCTAGTGACTGGCCAAACGCTGACCTTCGTGTCAGTCAAGACCTGCTCCTCCTTGTGGAGGAGTGTAAAGGATCCAGCCTCTCTTTGCCACAGGGAAAGCTCCTATTCTGAGGGCTAAGAGAGGATGATTTTGCCAGATCAAGGTGGTGGGGAATGAAGCACAGCTACAGAGGATGGCTTCCAATTCTCCCTTCTCTGCTAAGTGGGATTTTCTTGGGTTTGAGTTGGTTTTTTTCCCACCTGGAAGCCAGAACTGAAATACTCCCAGAGGAGACTGAAATCAAATAGCAATTTGCGTTCCTCTCCCATCCTGTTTTTTCTTATTTTTCCCTTGCAGGAGAACGAATCCACCCTCAAACCTTGGCATTTCACAGTTCCTCTCAAATCCAAAGCCCAGACACACAGCAGCAGCTGGACTCCCTGTAAGTTGTCAGGGGAAAGCCTGCTGCAAGGGGAAGGACACACTTCTTCTGAATCATTCCTGTTCCTTTGAACCTAACCTCTGCTCCAGACACTAGAAAGAATATTTATGCCCTTAGCAGATAATACTGAGCATCTGCTCAGCTGTGACTATGAACCGTTTTGTTTCTTGAAGCTGTTCAGTAATTTGCGCCTCCTGGAGCAAGGAGTTGTGGGATGGGTCGCACAGCCTGTTCTGCCCCTGCTCTTCCAGAAAATAATCTCTGAGGTAGTTGCACGTGTCTATCTTCTACAGATTGGGAACACAAAGAGCTGAGGGTCACTGCAGCAGCCCTCTGCTTCACCCTTTCCACTTACAGCCACAGTGACAGCAAAAATCTGCAGATCTTGTTTAAAGATGGTTAATAAATACACTGCACATGCTACCTGGAGGGGAGAGTTCATTTGGCTTTGTCTTGCCATGTAGCCCTGGGGCCCCAGGGACAGCAAGCGCGGCTTTGAAAGGCCCTGCTGGCAGGGAGGTACGGCAGGAGCCTCCGTGCGTGCTCCCAGCACTGCCTGTACCAGCCGATAGGTACAAACTCATCAGGGCACTGAAAATCGGGAGTGATACAGTCACGCTCTACTTCCTTCATGGCACAAACTGAAAAATAATGAGGGCAAGCAAGCCACTAAAAATAAACTTAACCTTTCAGTGGCCACAGTATTACTCCTGCCATGTGCAGATGACTGGGCCACCATGCTTATTTCTGCTGATTCAGGACTGGAAGAGAGACAAGGCACAAACCAGCCCTCAGTTCATGACAGCCGCTTTTACTCTGGTGTCCCTGTCACTGTGTCGCTCATCAGCCCAGGACAATGTGCTGCTGTAGGCTAAGGACTAATGCAAAGGTCTGAGTTCGAAGATAATGAAATACTTCCTAGTAACATACTCCAAGATAAGAAGAGCGTTAACACAGTTATCCCCACTGCGCACAGAGGAAACCTAAAGCACGAAGATGGCGAAGTCTTTTCTGCATAGTCAAAAAGTGAGACAACAGTAGATCTGGGATCAAAATCAAAGAGTTTTCCGTAACTTTCTCCTACACAGTTCACCTGCTAGCTTGCCTTCCCTGTATCTTCTCGTCAGGATGCAGCAGGACACCTAACAATGTCCCCTCCATTCCTATTTGCAGGCCGTACAGCAACTGACTGAACCAGCAGAGGTCCAGGCAGCTGGAAGTTCTCCAGTCCCTCCATGCCTATGGTCTAAGCATCGGTCATCAACCTCTGGTACTCACTCACTCCTCAAATAACCCTGTGCCGGAAAGCATCTCCCCACTTAGCCCAAACAAGCACAGTGTTTGCTTTAACTCCGTCCCCTTTCCTTCTCTTAGGCTATTTCTGAAGTTGCTGGGAAAAGCCATGATCCCTTCTAACACTGAATTCCAGCCGTCAGATAGCATCAAAGACATTCAGCGTCTTCCCAGAGGAGCTCAGTAGGTCACAGCACGAGTTCCGTGGCACTGCAGCTTTCTCTAGGCAAGTGAGAAAGGCAAATCACTGTGATGTTGTTAGCTAGCAGAGCCAGAGAGTTATTTGAATTGCACAGATGATTCAGAAAACAAATGGGTGCTAAAAATACAAGACATACTTGCAAAGAGTTTTTCTCATGCCTGGGAAAGGCAAGGGCAGCTCTGGAAGACATCTCTCTAGGACGCCATGAGGTCTGACTGAGCAGAGGGTTAAAATAAAACACAGTAGCCGTCTTGCCAGCAAGATTTGGCTGATTTTAATACAAGGGATTTTTGTCTAGCAATCCTCCCACACCACAGAGAGGTAAATTCAGGTACCTGGACAGGATGGCAACATCCTCTGGAACAACGGTGCAGAACTTTCCAAAATCCAACTACCACCAGCTCAGGTATGAGCCGTTCACACTCTCCTCACAGCAGAAGTGCAAAGTGATCTGTGGCATATTTTAGTGGGATCAAGGACAGGAAGAGCAAAGAGGGCCCAGTGAAAGGGAGACTGGCAAAGCACCAGCGGATGGAACAATGAAGGATACTGTAGGTCATTCGCAGAGCTGGGAGAGTTTTTCCAAACAGTATTGTGTCCCACAGCCTGGCACTCACTTGTATCGAACACGTTAACACTGCTTTTGGCTCTAGCTATTGGTTTCCTGCTTACACACAAACAGCACGTTCACCCTGTAACACTACAGGGAGGCATTCAAAGAAGCATTTAGAACTCTGTACCTTAAAGCAGTGTAAAGAGAAATGTGGTTAGCATGGCCACTTACTCCTCCCGCATCAAAGGTTACCACCTGCAATAAAACCACAGAACAATAACCATTTTGCAGAAAAAGGAGACTACGCAGTTACCCGTTCTGACATCTAACGCACTGCTCTCCCAGCCTATTGTATCTAAAGAGTTGTTTTTGTGTTACACAATGAGGCCTTGAGCATGAACTCATGCTACAGAAATACAACTAAACAAACAAGACACCCTGGAACTAGATGACTACACAGTCTAACAGCTTGAACAACAGAAAGATGACAAATATCATGTTCCCACTGGCAGAAAGCACTTGGTACTTATTACCAGGCCAAAAGGTTACTTTCAGAGTGATCTGTTGCGAATTTGTTTCTGACCCGAGAGGTCCAGCTCTCTGAATCACTCTCTCCTGGATTTGAGAACATACTGCAAAGCCTGCAGATTACCGGGGCAAACGGTAGTTTGCTGTACTGTGAATCAGGACATACAGCTTTAACAAGAGCAACACCGTCATGTACTGCTGTCCTGATGGTAACGAGGCTTCATCACAGGGTAACACAGTGATAAAATAATCTGATATGAAAAGAAGCTTTTTTTTTAAGAATCAGTTGACTGCACTTTTTGTACATCCAAGTCAGGCTTTTTGCTGAATGAGAAGACCTTATTGTTTATTGCTTCTCTGCAGGGAGGAATGGGAAATTCATAACGCAGAAGTAATGTGTGAACAAGTCACCGGCCAGAGCACAGGATGCCCTTGGCTCCCTGCCCTCAGCCCTACCAATAACGTGTTGGGGTGAAGCACCCACCCTGAGGGCTCGCTCTGCGCAGGACTGTGAGGTGGGTACCTACCGCCTCCTGCTTCCAGCCTAGAAGACAAAGTGGCAGCACCGTGCGGAGCTGACAGGGACTGTGTGCAGGGGATGCAGGCTTTCCAGCTGGTGACAGTGATGACCCTCGGACAGTCTAAGGTCAGGTATTTGCTCTGGGAGAGGCCAGGCAGCAGAGCTCTCCGCAGCTCTATGACCAGGAAGAAATGATAACCTCCCCACATTTCAATCCCCGGCTGCTTCCTTGCCAGCTCGTTGTCTCTTCAGGGAAGGAAGTGCTACCGCCTTGCTTACTCACCTCGGCTCCCTCCTCAAAACCTAATTTATATGCAGGGCCTGAAGTACGGGGTTAAAGATCAAGGGAAGATCAAAAGCTGCCCTGCCTTTCCTGCCACTTGCTGTTCCACCCTCCAACAGGGCCCTCTCAAACCCAGGGGATATTGTGTAAAGAGGGAGAGGAAGCAAAAAGACAGTGACAAGAAATACTTCAAAACCCACAAACTCCAGACAAGCCTGTTTACAAATTCATCCACCCAGTACGTGCCCACAGTTAGACCTTCCACTTTGCCCAGTGGCTGCAGTAATGCTGTCACCAAGCAGCGGGGTTGTTCACTGCTGGCAGGAAGCAGTGGGACCCAACTGGGTTTTGTTCAGGTACAAAGAAGCATTTTCTGGGCAACCTCTATTTTATAAGTAGAAAAATTATGTCTTTGGCTGCTTTTGCTGCACATCAGCATTACCTGAGAGGCTCTGCAGGGTCAGGCACGGAGTGAAGCCCTCCCTAGGGATACCGGCGTTTTGAGTAGCTCATCCGGGAAAGATATTATTAAATTCTGTACAGCTCAGGGAATGAGCACAGCACCCTGCATTTTACAGATAAGAAGAAACACGCTCTGAAGTCACTCCTACCTAAGTGTACCCCCCTCACTGCAGGCAGAACAAATTCTTATGCAGGTGAATAATAGAGCTGGACTTGCATTAAATCTTTTTACTAAATGAGGACTGAAGAATGGTTTATCTCCTCTGCCTGGTCGTTTATTTTCATAAAGTTTTTTCAAACATGCATGTGCACACACACACAAATAAAACTGCATTATTCTTGTTTCCTTAGGAAACCAAGCTAAAAACCCCAGGCAAGCCAAAACACACACTTTTCCTTCTACGGAGGGTACAAGAGAACAAACCAAAAGACTGAGATAAGAAACTATAGTGAGCAGACTAAATAAGCAAATCAGGTTTTGGTTTTTTTTTTACAAAACTGGCTCAGGCCAACTGTGGGAGCAGAGGGCTGGGTTAAGAAATATTCTTGACGTGGAAATTATCTGTGCAGAAACACCTTTGGAGGGTTTTCTTCTCCGTATCTGTTTTGAAATAGGAGCTGCTGTTCTTAGTACTGTGGCGCTTACGTAACAGCTGAACTAGCTAAAGAGTTCGCGCAGAGTTAATTTTCAATCAATGTTGTCTAATTTCCTGTTAGGACATTTGCACCTGAACTGCCTTTCTCTTCAAATAGACAAATTTGTAAGTACAGTTCCCAAGGTATCTGCACACTGACCTGGCCGCAGTGGAATTCACTTTCTTTGCAAAGAGACCACCTTGGAAATACTGGCTTCTCACCTTCAGAGACTCCTCCCAGCACACAGGCTGGCTCTGACACAGCAGTGATGTCCCATGGGACATTCTGCGTCTGTTGTCTAAACAGGGCACTGATTCCACAGCATCACTGTGGTGCTTGGGACTTAAAGCAGGCAGCAATCATATGTAAATATACTCCTCTGGCTTCGTGACTCACTTCATCGGTAACAAATCTGAATTTCTTCTTCACTTGCTGAAGATACTTTCACACAGGAGCTTTTACTTCTTCCGCACGGCGCAGCTGGCTGGTGTGCTCGCTTCTAACGCATCACCTCAACCAGGCTGATGACGAAATTAACAATCAGGGCAGGATGAGAAAACCTGAATGGCTTGAAACTGTCCGGGTTAAAAACAGGCTCAGCCAGTTTTGGGAGCAAAGGCTGGGATAGGAAATATACTTGATGTGGAAATTATTGCTCGGTGAAATCTTTAGGGCAAGGGAGAGTTCCCTCCCCACACCTGTTCTGAAATACGAGCCATTGCCATTGGTGCTGCCGGGTTTTCTTCTGGGTGACCTTGGTATTCAGGAAATTGAGCTTTCACTAGTGGAAGCCAGAGCAATAGCCAAGACAAACAGGTTCAGAAATCCCTTCCGGAGAGGGGAGAGCACAGAGGAAATCACTCAATTACTAGCAGAAGAGAAATCTCCTGAGCGGTCTGGAGGCCATGCTCCCTCTATACACCATGTGCACCTCAGGAAAAAAAGCACTCAGAGCTGTGGGTCTCCCTTGCTCTTTGTGGTGTCAGCGAGTGCTTCCAAGGGAGCACACATCCGCACAGGGAGACTGGTGACCACTGGGTTTGAGCTGCAAGTGTGTAAGTCATGTTACCAGCTCCTGGAGTTAAAGGTCTTGGGGGTACTGAGGTACCTGAGGAGACTGCAAGCTAAGCAAGGAAGGGAGGAAAAGGGATGCCGAACTCTGTCCCAGCTCTGCTGTCTCCTCTAGCAAAGCCCACGTGCTGGACTCCCTATCTGGTGTTCTGCAAAAGCATTTAAAATCCTCTATGAACACCACACATTCAAATGCTCCTGAATTTTAAGTGTAGAGATCGAGATGCAAAACATGAGACCTGAACTCATGCTCTCAAATATAAGCTCCAACCTGAGTGGCATTTGCAGAAGGATCTGGGCCTTCTAGGCTGGTTTGGAGCTGACCCCAGACAATGGGACTCTTCCAAAAACGGTTATACGGACGTTTCCATCAATCTGTAGCGGAAAACTGCTTGTAGGAATGTGATATTGCTGAATTCCGGTCTTGGCACTGCATCTGCCACAAATACAGTCTGAAAGTCACCTTCTAATCCAAGCTCTGCTATCACCAAACCTGAGATCCTGAAGAGCGGGATTTCATAATCTAGAGCCTGCCTGGGGCTCACACAATACCACGTAACATTACTGCACACTCTGAATACTTTCTAATCTGGATCGAGACAGATTAGCCTTGGCTGCCTCCTCTCCCAGCAACACTGGCTTTTGCTTATAAATCCAGCAGGCAGGAAATAATTTCCAAACTCTATAAATTAGTCTTGGCTTTGAGAACACCAATCGTTAATTTCTGTGCCTACGTTATTTAATGTAGAGCTTGGATGAAATATGACCCTGTAGCTCTCAAAAAGATTGAGTTACTCATGGACTTCCAGGGCAACTGAGGAAGTGAGTAACTATGCAATGGAACAAAAACTACGTATAACATGGTGTGACTCCTTGCTTTGCAACCTTTCCTTTCACACACGGTGGAATTGCAGCCTGCTTCTCCACTGCCAGATGACACGTATGTTCTGTAAATAAAAGATACCGTTCTCTATGCTATGACTATGGGGAGAACCGAGGAAAGTTTTCCCACTGGGACAGCTGAAATAATACATCTTCCCATCATGTTAACTCCACGGAGTTAGCTTGTTGTGTTTGAAATTGTTACCTCATGCTTTGACAAGGCTCTTTTAAAATGTTAAGTCAACTCTATCAAGTTCAACATTATTGAAAAATGGACTCAATTTACCTTTCAAGGCAAGGCTTAGAATGGCAGAGCTGCTCCAAGAGTGGCTAACAGAAGTTTTAAAAAGCAGAATGTTCAACAAAGGTAATTAGGGGCTTCCTTTGTTGCTCTTGGCAAACTAGGTCTGCTTCTCACTGAATGGTGTTAGAGCAAACATGCGAGACCTGCGCGATTACTGGGGACACTTCAAGTAAGTTGACAGAGCGGCTCATTACCACCATCCCCAAGAAGCTGCTTCAGTCGCCTTTGGCACTGCTGCCGTGTCCATTTTGTCCTCAGTGCTGCTCAGGGAGGTGCTGGGGGATGGCAGCGGGCCCTGCCGCAGTGTTCCTCGGTTCTACGGCTCCCCCAGCGCGGTGCGGAGAGCACTGGGGACTGGGCATGTTTCTTGCTTTGAAAACCCAACGCCTTACTGCTTCCCCAGCACCAACAGCCTGAGTTTAATTTTCTCTGAGGCAAAGCTCTAACCCTTTCTAACCATCTAGAGGAGTTCCAGGGTTCTACTGGGATTCTGGTGCACTCTTCCTCGTGCCTGTGAGAGTCACAAACAGGCAACATGAATCCTCTTGTGCTAGGAGCTTTCAGATTAGATTAAAAACTACCTATTCACGGGGCCAAAAGGCACAAAAAGAGTCTAGGAAAACTGCATTTGTCTCTGTGCACAGCAGAGAATTTCATGGAAAATTAGCCTCAGAATCAACACAAAGTTGGATGTATGATGCTGGTTTTTTGCTCTCACGGGGCTTTCATGCTACAGGAGATGTGGTTTCTTGTTTTGTGAATTGCTGAAAGGCTTTAAGAGTTTTGTGATTTTGCTGCTAATCAGTGCATGACAGTGACATGCCTGATCAGAGCAAGGTTCA